GCATGACGGGCGTGTGTGGATCTCGCCGCAGTCTCTGCTTGTTCGCCTGTCTGCTCTTGTCGGTCGCACAACGGATGGACTGACAAACAAAAACAAACAAACAAACAAGGGAAGGGCTGACTCGATATCGGGATGGATGATGGATAAGCCATACATACACACGCGCAATTTATCACCAACCGTATACTTAAGACCATTGCATGCGACATTAAGAAGTCTCAACTCAAACACCATTCAATGATGGCATCAATCAAATCAATAGGGTGCGGTGCACTCAGGGGTCTCTCATACACATAAGCTTTGATGGACACACTGAAGGCTATATATCCCAGGGGCTATGGCTGCTTCCAAGCGGTACGTACAGAGTTAACTAGTTGGCAAAATGCGCATCCTTGTAGTCGGCCGTCCATCGGTGCAGCTGCGCCCACACACACATACGTCATGCGACAAGGCCAAAGGAGACGCCAAAAGCTGCACGCATGACTCGATAGCTTGGCGGCTCCACGCGGGGGTTGGCACCGAACAGCGGCCGACTCGCGATGCCAACAAAGAGGCAGGTGCACAGCTGAATTGAATAATAAGACAAAGCACCTGCACGACGACACACACGACAAGACAAGACAAGACAACAGATCAGCGGATCTCCATTGGGTCCACTGACATGCAAAATCAGTGTGTGTCGGGGTGTGGCGACGAGAGGGCATCAAAAGCATGTGAGCCTCCACGTCGTCAACATCCCGTGTGGCTATGAGCAAGGGAAAATACGACGCCTGGCTATCGGTGAGCCAAGCTCTGAGTGTGCCTTGCATTGAGTGACTCTCTGATGCACCTACCAAGAAATCTCATGATCCGCCGCTTCTCCGCGTGAACAACAAGACGGCTACGGATGACAACAAGACGACAACACCATGAGGCAAAGGCATACCCCTATGTGTCATTTACCTTGACCAATCGACAGGGCTATTCAACTTGTAAGCACCCAAACACGCCGAAGGCTTGTGCCAGCTCTTTCTTCTCGCCCTCCGCCCTCTCTCTCCCTCTCACTCTCGAGTGAAACTATCCTCCAAAAGCGGCGTTTCCATGCTGCTCTCCTTGCCTTGCCACCGCTCGTCAGGGTCACCACTCCCTTGTGAACATGCCCGTGACACACCGCCCGAATGTCGTAAGCCTCGTGGTGAGGGTGCCGCTCTGGCCGGTCTCTCCGGCGAAGAACATGCCATGGCTGAGTATGTATCCTGCCCAGGTGTGGAGGCCAGTGCTGCCGAGAATAATGAATGCAATGAAGCAAAGAAGGAGGAGAGCGCCGCGCTGCCCAGTCTCCTGCGGGTGAAGAATCAAACAGCATCATCCAACGAAGAAACGGATGAATGAATGAATGAATGAATGGCCCCAGATCTCTCTCACCCACGGGAACTGCTGAGAGCGTGATGACAATCGGCTCCTGAAACTCCCTGCCGTGGTCCGGAAAGCTGGTGTCAGTGACGTGTTCCTCGACCTCAGGATAATCGGGGAAGCGCATCGTCCACAATGCCACGTCCAGTCCCAACTCCTCTTGATGTGCATCTTCAGCTCCGTTGAGCTGATGCCGCTGGGGAAGTCCACGATCTCCGCACAGACATCTTGTGAACGCGCTCCACGCACCCGCTTCACCACAAAGCTGCGTGATATTGTCTGATTCATTCCCCAGCGCGATCCTGCATCGTGCGAGCTTGGATGGCTTTCAGATTCCTGTAGTAAATGGCCCCAGATCTCTCTCACCCACGGGAACTGCTGAGAGCGTGATGACAATCGGCTCCTGAAACTCCC